TGTTGAAATATTTGGCTGATTACGAGCCATTCATGTCAAAAGCAGACGCTGCGTATGCATCGTAAGGCAACATAGTATCGACCAATATTACAGAAATACCTGTTTATGACTGCCATATTTTACACCTGCTAAACTAATTTCCTCAAATTTCTCAGAAACATCAGAACAGTCATTTCAGTTGTTTGATGTGCATAAACGTCTGCTAAATTCTGCATTTAAATTAATCTAAGAGCAACTTGTTATCTGAATCTGTTATCTGATGACCAATTTGGTTTATACTACAACAATTTAGCCACATTCGAATTACTGATTTGTTATGCCTTTAGGGCTCAAGAAGTTTCTACAGGCAGTGGCACCCGATAAAAATGTTTACTCTCCATTTTTGTCAAGTTTCTTTATTGGTCAAGTAATGAGACGAACAGCAGAAGGCCTCTAAAACCTCGATCTTCAGACCTCTCTGAGCAGCAAACTTGTCGACCCAGAACATCCTGGAAATCTGACCAAGATTATCCGGTCGTTCAGTATGTGCTTCGAGCCCATTGGGCAGTCTTTGAACGTACCTCTAAGAGTGATACTCAGAGTTGTGGGACGCTATGCTTAACTCGGAAGTTGCGTTTGCGCTGATGGTGGTATGACAAACGAAATGAACGCGCGAATCTCAAAGACCAGAATTGCCTTTGCTGATTTGTCGCACCTAGGCATCAGGAAGATATATCGCTGGGTCTCAAAGGATGTGTATATCAGACTATAGATGGGGTTGTATTGTTGTATGGCTGCGAGACTTGGCACTTCTGTAGCTCTTTGGCCATCGATGCGTCAGCACTATAGCTAGAACGAACGAATTCGCAACGAAGAGACCAGGAGACGGGTTTTGAGTGAAACCGAAGTATTTCACTCAAAAATGTATCTAGCAGCGCAACATACGATTGCAAACGCCGAGTTACCACCTACTAAGACTAGTGCTGTTTTCCATGCCTAATCCGGAAACCCGGAGGCGGTTAGAATTTGACATGGCAGAAAAAAGTATTATTACGAAGTTTTGGGTGCTTCTGGTGCTGCCTGCCTTCTAGGATGGGGTCCACATGACTTCCCTGTGTCTGATTGAAAACAGCGAATGGATTGCGGCTAACCAGTGTCAGTGGTGTTCATGTTGTCACCTTCTATCCAGATTGTCTGACTCAGTGTTGCAGATATTAACACGGATGTTTACCACCCCTATATCCTTCTTCCTGCCCCATTTCTCCTCTATTTTCATTATGATGCCTTACTCAAACTAATCGATATGGCAACAGAGCACCAGTGTCCCAATCTGGTGTTGCTATCGTGATGATGGTGGCTCCAAGTGTGTTTCTCCCAGGTTACAACAAGAATCAACAAGCGATAACATTAGCTGCCCTCCAGTTGGCGGTTATGTTACCGCCTCGGTTTTTTTACCCTAAAACTCTGCGAATCAACTGAGTTTTTGTTATTTAGTTGTTAGCTGGCCAAGTTGGATTACTTTCAACAGCTAATCAGTGTTAATTCATGTCTCATTCATAAGTAACCATGACACACCATAAGATGACAGTACAGTTGTCGCGTTTGCGTGCACATGTCATCCAGAAGAATATTTGACTCGTCATTAACCCTAAATTAGCCAGCATTGATTTCTTTATGTGACTGTCAACTCGACTGCTAGATTGCCTAATGACAGCGTCGCGCAACCACACTTCTCACCGTTTAATCTTTAGCAAGATAAGAAAATCATTTGGCGCATATTTCTGGTAACAGTTGACGAAGCAATTCAGTACTTTATCTAAGGTTGTTTAGGATACCAAAATTATCCCTAGTTGTGTGGCACTACTACACGCCCAGAAAGGCAGAAACTCCTGTGTGGCACATGACGAAACAAACATTTTCTTTGTGCGGTTTCCACTGTGGCGGAATATAGACCTTTTCAAATATTCCATTCAGTGGTTCAATAAACTGGTGGATGTCACTAGGCGACGTTTCTTTTTCTACATAAAAGATTCTGAACAGTGTTTCCTGAAAGATGTCCAACAGGATCTGCAGCCCACAGCCAAGTGCGGCAAGTACTTAAGATTCAGCTGGACTTCAGGTGAATCTCCCGTCAAAACTAATTGGTATGCAGATAGGTGTATAGGTCTAGGTGCGGAAGGGTTGTAGATTTTTTCGGCTCTCTGAAATGATGTACAAACCAGTAACGGTTTGTATTGTATTGGAAGTTCCAGCGTTGTCTCGTCCAGATGGGTTCATCATAGACCGAGCAGCTCGTCAGCCCATCTGGTTGCACAGTTGACAATACTCGAATGCGTGAACGAAGTAGAGGTTTTTATGGAGGGAACTGGAGACGGAAAGCTTTTCTTTCACTTGCCGGCACTGATAAGCAAAAATGTCAGCTAAGTAGCACTTGCAGAGCTGAATTCGACTTTTGTGCCGTGACTTTCCTATTTCCACCTGCCCCATGGACCGACCAGCCAGACATGAGCTTAACGGAGTGAGTTTGGAAGTGCACTGAGTCTTAAAAACAGAATTCTACATTTTCACTGAGAGGATAGACTTTGAACGCTGAGGGGAGCCAACGTACTATCAGAATGAGCCCTAATTCGCAGATAAAGTAGACTATTTTTTCCAGCGGAGCATTTGTAAAAAAGTCCGAACATCGTGAGAACACATTGTTCTCCTAAAGTTAGACGACCGATCCACCGGTCATTCTGGACAAGCCGGATTACATGACCGAAATTCGGGCCATACAGCTCTCTGCAGCTAACAGGCCCAATTGCGTCTGAGCCTTACGCACCGCCAAAGACGTATCACCACGGTTTATCTTAGCTATGAGTAGCTCACCTTACTTCAAATTAGCTCAATGGTTGGTAAATACACTAAGGTCCTTAACAATACAGCCAGCAGCGTTACAAAGGTGTAAACCACGCATGCTAAGAACTCATAATGGAGCGGAATGAAAAACTAACAAAGTTATGTCTAAAACTGTCGTCAAACGGACCAGGAGCTGAAATAATGGCGGACTCCATCGAACGGCGAATTAGAAGCTCATTGAACCAACCGGTCGCTGAATCAACCGGAGGTGTGGGAACTGAAAAGGGTTAGGAATCACTGCTCTGTATGCTTCATCAGTAAATCTAATAACGCGGCGATGTCAATGGAGTGTTAGAAACATCTGGTGTCTTGCTGGAATGGCGATAAAAGTGGATGTTTGCTTGCAATATATCGGTCACTCGTTTACCCCACATTTGCAAGGCCATTTAATACAGGGATCTTCAAATGCAACGCCTACGGGCAGAATCGTGATGATGGCCCTTTGCAAAACACGATGACTTATTAGTTCACCACAGAATTACTCGTTTGTCATGCGTTTGCAAGAACTTGGAAATGATCGAATAATGGTTGCTGGTCAAGCTTCTAGGGAAGTTGGCCTGCTTTTCATTGCAACACCCGTAATTGAAGCCAAAAATGCCCGGTTTCACTACTTCATTTTAGGACGACGTTTTGCAGAGAAGACATATGAGGAAGTGTTCTTCATTAGCAGATTCCACGGGATCGACCTAAACTAAGCTGAGGAATTCTGGCTGTCTCCCTAGAGGGAAACTCGCAGACATGTAGCAGCCCAGAGCAGCGTTCGTCGTTAAGAACAGCAGGAACTGAAACAGAGCGCCGAAATGAATTCAGGTAAGCCATACTGGACGGCATCAATGTGTGGCCAGCAAGGTACGAGGGTGTGACCTAAAGTTCGCATTAATCCTGGACGAAATGAAGCTGATACTCGCCGAATGGATCCGTGATCAAAGGATGACAACGATGGTTCTGATACTGGCAAAGTAGACTCAAAACTGTGCCTGAAAACTTCATATCAGTATACGACATAGAAGAGTACATTTATTTCGGCGAATGGACGTGTCGCACTAACTAAATCATTTTTAATGCTGAAGGGCGTAGCATGCATTCTCGTGCTATATTTTTTATCAATAGCTCGGCGTCGCGCTTCGCTGCGGTTGCGACCAATGCCCTCCAATGAGGCCGCTCACACAAGCTTCGTTGTGCTTCTTAACTCGTGGCTCAAAAACCTTTCAAATGATAGATGAGTTACCCTGGAGAGTTTTGCTAAACTTCCCGTAACCCAGTGAGGAACCGGACGTCTGAAGCGCCAGCTGACAGCAATGCGACCATTTCGGTTCCGAGGCTGTTTAACATATACGGGGTCGAAAACAGCACCCAGCGCATCTAAACTCACAACCAATGAGAACATGCGATAAGAAGCACAGAATTTTAAAAGGGGCTCACCACTGGCGTTCGATTTGCCTCCAAGTAAAGGCACTGCAAGGATGTGCCTCCGAAGAGCTGAAGCGACTATTACCTGCTTCGGCTAACTGTGAGAATAGACCAGCTTCTTGAGAGTTCTGAATCGCGACGGCCTCATCGACCTCAACAAACACGACAGAGTTTCTTTACTAGACAAGACAGTGATGCAAAAGGTAATGCTTGTAATTCGCCATGCCTTCCTCACGATCGTGCGTCAGGAAGCCCTGAAAGCAACTGAATCAGAGTAGCATCCCGAACAAGGAACCGAAACTTTAAAAGTTCCAGAACAGTCAGTTTTAATAGAATGCCCTACTATTTGCAGTACGACCCGCATCATTCCATTGATCAACTCAATAAATAAAAATGACATAAACTGAAATAGAAAGTAACGGAGGATTCGCAGTTGCACGCGGTTCGCTTAGCCGCTAGTACTTTTTTTTAGAAAGCTCAACGATTAAGGTGTGAAGATACGGAGCAGGCGTGTGATTTGTATCTCGGCTTTTTGATCCAGGCTTCGGCATACTGGTAGTAGCTCAGCCTTCGTGCTCCACTCAGGTTGCATGGCAGCTGTGCACCGAACGGATACCAGAGAAACGATCAGATTTTCTAGACTTGTAAAATGGTTACACCCGCAAAAACACCCAAGCTATAGTGAATCCCATGTCCAAAAATAAAAGCCGGATGCGCTGTCGGGCTGTAGATTGTAAACTGACAGGTAAGAGTGGTCAATCTATGTACAGGAAAAGGGTCAGAGAGTAGACAACATAGAGGAAGGAGATATACAAAAAGTTGCTCTTTCAGTCTGCTTCCCTCGCTCCGATGAACTACAACAATAACTGCGGTGGTAGCAACAAGCGTGATGACTCACGTACGGAGAAGTCAGCCAGAGTGGACAAAATAAAACAAAAACACACAGAAAGATTCTTTAGCGAGTCCGGCAAATTGTCGAGCGCCTTCTGAGTAGGTGTGGGGAACGAGTGCGATGTGTTGACGTACGGGTTCCTGAATGCACGTCACATTATAAACGACGTAGTGCTGACAGTAGGTTACGCGTCACGTTTCACAGCAAGAACAACACCCAGAGTTGCCTGCAGAAAAAAAAACCAAAACTATAGTGGGCGTGGTATCTCCGTTTACCGGAAAAGATAAGTTAACTGGGCAAACAGCAAAGGCGGTGAACTTATCAAACAGGATATGTCATGGGACGGATGACCTGGCTTAAGGTCGACCCCGCACGAGCGGAACGAAAGCATCACGTACTGTTCAAACCAGTGCATATTTATTGCCAATTTCGATTTTTCGCCAGTGAAAGTCATCTGTTCTCCGCAACACAGCGAGTAATGCCATAATTTTCAAGAGGGAACGGCACAGTGAAAACACGCAATCACCGGAAAATAACAAGTGGGTCACACGGCGGTCACACATTGTTTGCCAATGCGCACTCGCTCATGGTCAAGTACGAGCGACTCTGGGAGTGCTCCGAGATACTGGAAAAGTCCATTTTCGGAACTCGGGAACCGTAAGCGTCACAAAAAGTGGATGGACATTATTTAAAATAGCTTAGCCTATGAAAATTATCGACCGGACAGAAATGCTTGCTCGGAGTCCCAGAATGGCTACTCCGGATTGAAATCTATTCAAAGTAGCCGGTATGAGTGTGCAGCTTAGCATACAGGGTCAACTTACGTTTGATTTCGGCATTGTTTATCCTCCGTTTAATTTGTCCCAATTACGCCGGCCTCTGTTGGCATGTGATAACGATGAGTCGTGTTTTGCTATCACGGATGGCCCTTCGTATCTCGTGAGACAAGTATGCGCATCCGTAGTCAACAATCTCACCACTCATCCATCACATTGCATCGCTAGAGCCCCTACACCTGGACGATCAAATACCCATTCACCATTGGGTGCTTGGTGGTGACAAGTTTCTCTATATCAAGAATGTATAGTATAGTATAGCATAGCATAGCAAAGTAGTCAAGAGAGTATAGTTGTTAGTGCAAAGGTTGGTCGGAGAGCGAGATTCTCCTTCAATTCTCGCTCTATTGGCCGCCTCGCAACTGACAGCTATGTCAGACTTCATAAAAAGCTGTCTCCCGATCCCCACAGGAGGCAGTAATATCTGCTACATGTAAGCCATATGTGAGGGAGAGGATCAACGCCGACTAAAAAGGATCGACAATGAGGTTCACGAAATACCGCAAAACTCTTTCATTGACGGGACAGATCGACCCAAAGGGGTGGATGCAAGTTGACAGGATAATGAGCGGCTATACAATCTTTTCGAAATCACTACGACAAAACAAAAACAAACTATTCGATTAACCTTATTGGGTCTTCGTTGATGCGTGTTCGGCGTCCCCATAGCTTGGATGTGAAAAAAATCGTCCTCCGGAGCTTCTGATTCGATTCATCGCATGCTTATGCCTCGACTCGTGCAGATACTTTTGCCGTTCTTTTGGGATGCGTCCTTGTGACTCCAACTTAGCACGAGCCTGTCTACGTTTCAGAATCCTGTGATATTGCTTGGCGTTGACATATAAAGGTTCCTCGCCTCCCGGAGTTGCACCGGGCGATAGACCAGGAGCAGTCTGAGGAGTTCCGATTGCCTGTGCTTGAGTATCACTCTTGGGACTAGAAACCTGCACAACCTGCGCTGTGGGGACAGCTTGTGGCATCGCAGTTGCCTGCGTCTGATGAATAAGTTGAACTTGGGTGGTCTGTTGCAGCTGCTGGAGTATATGGTTTTCATCATCGACAGAAGTGCCGATAATTTGACCTTGCTGAGAGGTCAGGCTTGCATCCAATGCCGTAGCCGTTCCCGAAACAATAGGTTGAGTTGTGTAGATGGTTTGCTGCGCTGCGCTTGGCAGAAACATTATAACTTGTCCACCTCCCGCGGAAGTCGCAAGCTGTACAGGAATAAGGCTCCCGTCGCTCGCTTGAACAGCAAAAGTTGTCGGCTGAGGCGTACCGTTTGCGTCCATCAGCAGTGTCTGTTGCATTGGTTGAAGGATTGTTTGAGCCGGAACAACCTGTCCAGCATGTATGTAGCCATCCCTGTGAAGTAAAAAAAGAAGTCGAGAGTTGAACGTTGAAAAAAGGGCCTAAAATGTCAGTGCTAAGAGGGCCCTCATTTGACTGAAACTGAGATCCACGAAAAATAATCCGAACATAACAGTTTTAACTGTGATATGGTATAATAGAGAAAAATGCACCTAAATTTGGCCTCAGACTAGACTACAGTAACCAAAGAATTCGACACGTCTTCATAGACAAGAGGCTTTTCTACCTATCCATAATAATCACCATCGATAGCATCACGTCAGTGCTTAACACTGATGCTTCGCTGCTGGAAAACCATCTATTTGAAAGTCTTATTGTGAAGAAAAGAATAAAAGTGGATGGAGAAGGGACTTAGTGCTAGCTTACAACAACCATTCTGAGATGCCCACATGTCCGGACACTCATTCAATCTGGATAAATTGACAAGAACGCCCTTGTCATCGATTAGCAGACATTGTCTCCCACTAGAGGACCACGCGGCCTCATCCTGGAAGGCGAGTAGCACCGACAGCACACAAACGTTTCGTAATCTCTCATACTCCACTTCCAGTTGATGAGTTGGCCGTCTCTCTGGTTCCGCCACTCCTGATTTGGCACGAAAAACAGCATTATCTTGGGCAGACGATGGCTTGGTATGCACAATACATGACCTAACCAACGCAGCTTCAGGTGCTGGACACATTCTTCAATGGAAGTTCCCGAAAGCCCACTTTCTAACTGTCTCGTTGAGGACTCTCCGACACCAACCCACACGAGCTATGGTCCTGAGACGACTGTCGAACACCTGAAGACGTCTCAGTTCAGCTGCTTGAACAGGCCAAATTCCACAGCCATACAACAGAAAAACCCGCACTGTAGCCTGATGCACACCTCTTGAGGTAGAGGAATATACCGCTTTGACTCCATAGGTGTCTCAAATTAACGACGTTGACGATTTTAAGGGACGCTTCCGCCTTATCCCTGGATCAAGTACCAAGAGTCCAGCGCTACACGAGTTTGAAGTGTCTACGACCGTGGCAGCCGAGTTAACCGTGGATAGTTCAGCTAACGGCAGCCGCCAACCGAGGGATCTACCAGTCCTTAAGAACGCACCTGGAGAGGTATGTTAGGCAATCAGGTAAGGAGGGGATAATGGCGAGTATGTGAAGGGAGGTATCAGCAGTGACGTCTTCGATTACCCGTCATATTGTATGCAGCAAGTAAGGTGGACTACATGATTGCACCACTTGACAGCAGATGTGGTATGAAGTCATTGGAAATTATGCAACTCGTAGTTGCAGGTGGACTGTCAAATAACCAGGGGACCCTGGACTGGGCAGGAGGATAGACAGGTTCCTCAACTAGAGCATTTGGAAAGCCCAGCCGCTATTAGGATTGGTTGGTGTAAGACCACTATAGCAGTCTACAATTTTAGGGAGCAAATCGCCGTGCCTGTTCCACAACCCAACCTGCAGGGTCAGGACAGTTTGTCAGACCCAACTGATGAGAGGTTCGGGGAGTGTTACGCATGTATATATAAAATAGCACTACTTCACCTGTAACACCCTTTCGACGCAAGCTACTCGAACGAAGAAGGAGGGCTGGGGTGCTACCAGGTTACCCTAGCGTAGACCGGAGCAGTCGAGCTGCAGAGGTCGGGTTCCAGTCACGGAGCTTCAGGTAGGAAAAATTTGCGTTTTCTTTGAGTTATCTCACAGTGTAACTCAATGGGTTACGGAGTCGCTCAGACCATCACACCAGGGCAAGATCTGAATTATTCGTGACAGAAAGCGAGTCTTCAGTTAAGCAGGCGACGCTTCATTCAAAGCATCTAACAATGTAAGCTGAGGTGGATGGGCCATGTGTTGCACGCCATTACCGCCTGCCGAGGAGGGCGTTGTTTTTTCTTGCCTGATTTGAAGTGACAGAAACCTAGATGTGGGCAGAATTCTGTATGACTGAAGGGAATGATGTTATGGAAAGTTTGGGCGCGGCTGATGCTGTTCACCTTCCAGGATGGGGTCCACGTGACACTTCCTATGTTTGGCTGGAACGATATGAAGATTAACTGGTATCACTGGCGTCCAGGCTGTCAGTTCCCATCCAGATTGCCGGACTGTGTGTTGGATGTCTAGGCTAGCCCTAGGTCTCCCTCCCTGCCCTATTTAGCTATAATTTCAGGCAAATGGACACAGCTGCACGGCATTGAAGTATCAGTGTTCTCATCTGATGTTACTGCAAGTGATGACGATAATCTCGTTGGCAAATATCCATTGTTACCATCCAACAAAGAGACATATTAAGTGCGAAGGGTACCGAGCAAATCATATGAGAATCATGATGGGGAAATGAAAAATCGTTCAGTAATGACATCCTTTCAATGTACAGCTGCTTAGAAAGATGCACTAGGGATGAGATACAGTCAGACTATTCAAGCCAAGAATGCATCCGAAATGTCCGGGTTAAGGAAGTACCGCGGACAGCTCCGCGTTCTAACAGCTGAGCTAGACTGAACGTGCTAGGTTCTTCGCAGATGGGTTGCAAAAGATACGAAAGAATCAAACCAAACCAATGAATTACGGGCGGGTAGAGGCTGCACACATCAACCTGTGAAGCACTAAAATTGTTTCGAATTCTAAGAGACCGCTGCCTCTTGTTTCATCAACTTCCTGACAGATGCCCACTCAATTCGGTAGTGTCGAAATATTGATATCTCGGGTGAGTTTAATGGTTGTTGATCAGGTTGCTGTTGATCCGTTCGCCGAGCCTGACAATTGACTTGACCCATCCAACTGCGCACTGGTGTCTCCTCGTACGGTGACGAAACGTTTGCAAATCAACTGCCACGCTCAGCGAACAAATCAACAGCCACCCGACAAATAACCAACCCACGCAGTTTGTAAGAACATGGAGACATGGTTCGTCAGACAAACTCCTGAGTCTCATCAAAACATACACCTGGAAGTGCACCCACCTCGGTGGTGGGTGCGACATGATTTTCGCTTGTTTTGTTTAACTACCGCGTCGAACTGAGCTCCGTCGTTTGGGGTAACAGCCTGACGTTTGGCGCCAACTTCGTCGTTATCGGTTATTAGCTTCAGTGCCCAACCTCATTACCCTTCACACCTGCTACCGATGTATGATCACTTAGGCCTAATCCAAACGAGGCATTTGACCATTGGAGCATAATTGTCCTCCGGGCCGGGCGGTACGATAAGCAACGAGCTTTTAGATCCGCAAAGATGAAACAGTACTCTTCTACTCAGAAATGTTGGCTACATTTGTCTGGATATTTTTGGAACAAACCTCAACCTGGACTTGGGGGGCTGATGTCATGCCGACTTCATGCCATTCCCGTGGACGATTGAAAGCGTACCTTAATATGGTCAAAAGTGACAAATGTTGGTCTCACCACAACGTCCGTGGATCGAGGCGTTGGAAGCTGACATGCGTTAGCATCGCCTTCAAAAACCAAGAATAGATAGCTGCGATTGTTTTCGGCTTATACTCGTAGGCACGCCAAACGCCACAAAGAAAAGCGAACAAAAATGCCATCCAGCTGAGTATTACGTCAATTTGCACGCGCTCAGGAGTCACGACAAACCTGAGAATTGTTGTAACCGTATGGGCACCAGTTTAATGGTTATAGTTTCCAAGGTGCTCCTGTGGCATTATCCCGCGCAGATTGGTTCGTCATCGAACGAGCCAGATTCCCGAGGGTCAAGCTAGCTTTGCATCGACCATATCTTCACATTCGGACAAGCGTTGGGACCGCACCACTCCTTCCGATGGCCAACTATCGACTGCACTGATCGCAAGAAACTGTGGCAGTGTCTGGCGATGAAGGGTATCCCTTGTAACTTCTTGTCTCTCATAGAAGGCATCTATAAGCCGGCATGTTAGAGCAGATGACCGATACTTCCTTGACCAATATGCAGGCACGAAGCCGATCATCTGAGCTCAGAAACATAACCACGAAACCATTATCTTTGATCCGTTGCCAAGTGATTCCGTCAACCTCAGGCAGAACCAATTACCTTCAACTGTCACCGGACATACAACCAATCTCCTTGGTCAAATTGGAGCGGCCATGAAGAAGTAGTGAAAATGATGTCCTAGGTATACAAAGATAATAAAGTAATCGTTCATCTGCAACACCCTTTCGGCGCCCAGCTGCCATGTCACCCAAAGGATGCAGGGGGGGGCTTGGATGGTGCCAGGTTGCCCAAACCTAGAGAGAAGTTGAAATGCAGAATTCGGATTTGGACCACGGACTGAAATTGTGATGCTTGCGGGCGATCTGAATGCTCAAGTAGGTCGTCTGAGCTCTTTGGAATCGCATTGGGGCGGTCGACTCGGAGTCGATGCTCGCCGCACAGACAACGGAGATCGACTCCTTCAGTGGTGTGCTGATCACGAACTGCTCCTGGCAAGTAAGAACTTTCAACATAAACGTTCGCACCACGTAACTTGGCGGCCACCAGCTGCAAATCAACCGTGGACCAGTTGGACCATGCGGCCATCAGCCACCGGTGGAGAGCCACAGTTCAGGACTACCGTTCCTTCTGGGGCACACCACTTGATTCCGATCACGCCATTGTGCGTGCACGCCTGATAATTCGCTTCCCTTCAGGCCCTCACAAGTCAGCAAGAAGCATGTCAATCCATTGACTTTGAAGAGCTACCATAGCTCAACAGTATCGATCTGAGCTAGCCCAACAACTCTCTACAGTAAAACAGTACTGTGGTGGCAGTGAATATGTGGATGAAGCGTGGCAAAATGTGAAAGGAGTTATGCAAGCGGCATTCAGTGCTGCCTGCCCGACTTCTCCAATTCGACCACAAGACCACTGGATGTCGTCGAGGTCGCTATCCATGATTGGTGCGAGGAAAGCCATACCAGCAGGCAACGAGTACGACGGCGCACGCAAATCCCTCAAACGCTGTAGAGTGAAGAGTTTAAGGAAAAACCGAGAGCTCTGGTGGATATCGAACGCTCGAGAGATGGAGAAGGC